TCGATCAACCCAAGCGCTAGGTGATCGACCGCACAACCGATCAACCTTAAGGTCTCGGACAACCAATCGATGCCAACTTTTACTTTCATTACTATGTAAATTTTATACTAGCATTCATACAGTTATAATAACTGCTTTTTTCTTATATGTAATTATATTTGGAAACCATAACTAGGAGGTCATGACATTAATAAATGAATTTTTGGATCCTCACGCTTGAGAGATTCTTGACGCTTAAAGATTCTCTGAAATTATTGACTTTTCTCTTTTTGCTCTTCTCTCGAGGCATGTCTTTCAAGGAGACAATTTAGAATCCAATATAAATATATTAAAAATAATATTTAGATGATGAAAAAATTAATTTTAAAATATTTTATCTCAAACATAATACTGATTTCAACTTCTAATTATTCCATTATATTTGCCCTAAAGTTGACACAAAAATTTCGAATTATTTTAGCGCAAATTTTTGTCGTTATATTTTTGGAGGCGATCATGGCGCGGCACAATTGAAGCTATCGAGGCGGTGGTGAGCATAGCCACAGTCTGTTCTCTGGTTTGCGTTTGAGTTCCACCACTTTCCACTTGATGGCGGCAGAAGACCCAGGAACCCCTGAGAATTCCCCCCTTTCGTCACTGGAAAAAGGTGTGGACGATGAGGAGCTCCGGGCTCTTCTAATCCCTGACTTCAACGATCTTCCCCCAGTTCCGCGTTCGGCTGTTGAATCCAACTTCGTCCGCTACTATGCCGTCGGTATAGTCGATAATCATATTCTCATAAACACGGCAATTGATCTTTTCTTCGAGGAATAGTTGCGTTATTTGGAATGTGATTTCATTTCTTGTTCACAGACTTTCTCAAGCCCGCACATGATCAATATATCTATCGTCATGCCAACGGGTAAATAAAGAAATTTGTTCTTACGCATCAATACACTGAAATATTTGATCCGTTTTCATTTTTCGTAAATCACAATGAAAGGTTATGCGTGATTGGTCTTGCTCCTACTCACGTCGCCCTTAATGTGAAAGGAGGAGTTGAATCCGTTGATTTCAAATTGGGGAAGTCTAACCGAAGTGAGATTAAGGTTACTGGAAAGAGAAAACGGGTAGGGCAAACTTTGGGTAATCGGATCCAGTTTCTACTGGATATTTGTATTGTTTTTACTCTTCTTAACTGATTTGTAACTGGTAAGCGATTCTTCTTTGCAGAATGCACAACATCTTCAACCAGATTCTGCACTTTGTAATGTATGTGCCAATGGGGCTTACTACACAGTCAGGTTTGTCTTTGAGGATGTTTTATTGCGATTTAATCAAACATTAGCTTGTAGATTTTGATTTGAAGGAATGGGTTGTCTTCCTCCTTAAGGTGCTGCGTTAAAGGTTCTCTGTTGGAGGTTAATGATCGGTTGATCAGGCATGCCGAGCTTCTCAACTTAGCAGTAAGAATCTATTTCTTTCAGTTTATTCTTTGAAGATTGCATGACACTTATTGATATTATCCATGAATTTAGATGTGTAAATGCGACGAGTTTAAACGTGTTAATGCTTTTTTACGCTTTTGCCCATTTGAATTTGTTTCTGCTTGAAGATGACTTTTATTCAAAATTGCTTGTGAATACCATCTTTTTGTTTGGTTTTTTTGAATGCTATAAGGTTGCTCAGCTCAAATTCAGTTTGAATTATTTAAAAATAAATAATTTAAATTTAATTAAATAAACGTTCACTATCAAATAAATATATAAAAATATGTGAATTATTGTTACTCAAAGTTTATAATAATAATAATAATGAGTTTGGACTCAAATTTTATAATTTAACAAATGAAATTATTACAATCAAGTTGGACTATAAATAATAACTACTTTATAAAATCACAATCAACTTTATTCTGAATCAAAAAACTTTGATCCATATCTTTGTTGTTTAATTCTCCAATATCAATGGAGATGCTCATCTTTATGAACACTAAGTAGCAACAAATTCGTTAAAGAAGTAATTTTTTGTTTTAAACAAATGCATTGTAAATTGCCACTGAAATTGTGAAATATTTAAGAACGAACATTAAATACATCAATTTTATAAGGATTGAACAATTTTACAAACTATTCTTGAAAAATTTTGAGGCTTAGATTGAAATTTACGTTTTAAATTTCTCTTATCCTATAAAGCTTTGCACAACCTTACACCATACCAGTTATTCAGGCAACAATAGTTCATGTGGCTATCTTTCAATTAATGATAATAAACGTAGACAAATCACTATATACTTTTTTTTTATCAAACTAGAGTTTTCTAGGTATTCAATAGGCAACATCTCCAAATGCAATATTCACAAGACATGCATTTGCAAAGAAATCAATCCATCAAGAATAACAACTCATCAATATATTTAGGAATCAATTATCATTATTCAATAAATTCATAAATTCCATATCCGAGAATCCCCCAATAATAACAATCCATCATCCAAAAATCTGCAATATAAAATAACAATCCTGTAATCCAGTATCCAACATTCTAATATTCCACAAATTTAAGGAATGCCTTCTTGAACTCATCAAACGTAAAAACTTGGACTGTTAGATAATTCAGAATCGGGAATTTACATACGTTCCACACAATTGTTATGGATAAACATATCTAACTCTAAAAGTTTGATATTTACATTTATAACACTGTGGTGCTATAAACATATGCATAAAGTTACATTTGCCTTTTAAAAAGTTAGTAATTGTGATATTTTGGATGTGATGTTAAAGATTTGGGTGTTATGAATGCAAATTTTAAAGTTTAGGTGTTAGATATGTAAATACA